TGTGTGTGTGTGTGTGTGTGTGTGTGTGTGTGTGTGTGTGTGTGTGTCCCGTCAGTGAACCAAACCCACAGTTAGGAGACTAAACATTGCACAGAGGCTTCTGCTTTTTTGCCCTGTTTTGTCACAACACCACAGTACCTGACATCGCTATGACGGATGTTTCACCGAAAAAAGTGTTCAGAGAATAAATTACCCCATCTGTGCGCTCTAAAAGGCGGAGACAGTGTTGAAACAACTTGGATTACAGCTCTTAAACAAGTCTTTTCTTTTCATATCTTTAACACTTGAACTTCTGTGTTTATTTTTCATACGTTAAGTTGAAATATAATATAGTGCAATTCATCAGAACTACAAACTACAGCCTTTAAAACGACCAGAAAATTGAATCAACACCATATACTGGATGAGAAAGTATCATTTTATCGTATAGTATATGTTTTTAGTTTGTTATGAGGAAGTATTGATCAGGAAGGGCATCTCAGTCTGTAGGTGAAAAATAAGCTCTTTGTGTAATTCTCCCTGCATCTCCAACCAGGCAGTTTCTCTCTATTTAAAATGTTATCAAGTAAATAATACACTCTATGCTCGATGAACTGTCGTTCAGATGTCAAGAGCAGGTTCTCAAATGGGCTGTAATCGGTGTAATCAGTTCAGTGTCAGGCAGTAGCAGTGACGCCAGATGTTGTGGTAATCGAATAACCAAGGGTGTGTGTTTCTGTGTGTTTCAGACTGGTCTCAGTGGGAACATCATGATCCTGGCAGTGCTGTACAAAGGAGGCCTCTTGATGGCCTGCCAGCACATGACGGTGGGAGAGCTCTCGTCGTTCCTCATGTACACCTTCTGGGTGGGCATCAGCATTGCAGGTAATATACATGCGTGTGCTCTTTCCTGGTATTTGAATCTCCTTATCTGTACTCTTTACGTGTGTGTGTGTGTGTGTGTGTGTGTGTGTGTGTGTGTGTGTCCCAGATGGCTTAAGTCTCTGTGTTTTTCTGCTTGACGTGTAGGTCTGAGTTCATTCTACTCTGAGCTGATGAAGGGGTTTGGAGCAGGAGCCAGACTGTGGGAGCTGCTGGACAGAAAGCCTGAGTTTCCTCTAAACGGTCAGTAGCACACACACACAGATAGTAGACTACTACCTCACTACTTCATTGAGGATGTAGTAAATAATCTAGTACTGTTTTTTGCTTTATTTGCTTGTTTATTTATTTTCTTACCCTTGTTTACTCTATTGAAACCAACCAATCAAGCAGTTAAGTTAAATAATGCGTCTATCTTTGTGTCCCCCCCCTCCACAGAAGGCCTCGCGCTTCCTCCAGACCAGCTGAATGGCCGGTTGGAGTTCTCTGATGTCTCCTTTGCCTATCCGACCCGTAGCGACGCTCTTATTTTCCGGAACCTCAGTCTGCTGGTCCCAGCTGGTACCATCATGGCTGTGGTGGGACCTAGTGGCTCTGGAAAGTCCACCCTGGTCTCTCTGCTGCTCAGGCTGTACGATCCCGAAGCTGGTGAGAGCGAGCTTGTTGTGTCTAACACTTAATCGGGCACAACCTTAAGAGTACGAGCCTCTGTCAGATGGCTGTCTTACCTCTAAGAATGAACTCCTTTCTGCAGGTATCATCACTATAGATGGTCATGACATCAGAGATCTGAATCCCTATTGGCTCAGGAGTCACATAGGAACGGTCAGCCAGGTAATGAGTTAATCTTTCCCTTGTTTACGTTCCTGTACGACAGATCTCGTAGCACGCACAAAGTCCTGAGCAGACGATCAATATTGTCTTCCCACCTCTCTCCCAGGAGCCAGTGCTGTTTTCTTGCTCTATAAGAGATAATATTGCATACGGCGCAGTGGACCCAGACGCTGTCACCACAGAGGACATCTACAAAGCAGCCAGAGTGGCCAACGCCTTTAATTTTGTCCAGGATTTTCCTCAGGGCTTTGACACTGTGGTGGGGGAGAAAGGAGTGCTGCTGTCAGGTGAGGAAAGGACAGGCTGGGACACGATCACAACATCTACTTCACTGTGGAAGCAAGAAAGCAGTCAGCTGGGTTGATGATACTGAGGGTGATATTCGTTTTATATGAGCCGTGACACATTTTCATCTGGTAATCACTCTCATATGGTTGTAAATATGTTATTCCTTTTAAGTAAGAACATTCAAGACATTTACTTTCGGTCTCAATTGCATTTTTGAGAGACAACACCGCTTGCTGTTTCCAAAGATGTTCGAACAAGTATTTTGTATTTAGCGTGTTTTCATACTTTGTCAAGGAACAACTCCGTTAACTCTCATGGCTCCGTGCCTACAGGAGAGACTTGGGTCTATTTGGATGTATAGTCTGTACACGGTTAATTTGTGTGTTTGTTCCTCAGGTGGTCAGAAGCAGAGGATAGCGATAGCCAGAGCTCTGCTCAAGGTGAGTGCAACAACATGGTCATTTTACAGTTTATCCACACATAACATTTGGGATCTGTTAACCAGGACTGGCTTTTCCTGTCATTGATTTTACAGACTGTTAACCAGGATCTACACTTCAGTCTCAGCTTTCCTTATTTCTGTGAAACCTGATGTAGTTTGTATAACACTACTTGTGTTCTCTCTCCACAGGATCCTAAGATCCTGCTGTTAGACGAGGCTACCAGGTGAGATAGACTGAGACTAAAGAGTTGTTGTTGAAATCAGCTCACAAAACAGCTTTACTTACAATACCTATACTGTGTTTATCCTTTTGGCTTTCATATTGTTGAAGAAAACCCTCAATAACCTTCTGTCATTAGTGCGCTGGATGCTGAGAATGAGTTCCTGGTCCAGGAGGCCTTGGAGCGTCTGATGGAAGGTACACGTCTCTGTCTTCATTTCAGGATGAAGCTTTAATACTGGTGCACCGATGCCACTCTTTGTTTCTCTTGACTTCTTATTGCCCCTCTCACCCAATCAACAGGGAGGACAGTCATGATCATCGCTCACCGCCTGTCCACCATCCAGAATGCGAACGCCGTTGCTGTGCTGGACCAGCAGCGTATTGCTGAGTGTGGCCAGCACACTGAGCTGCTAGACAACAGGCAAGGACTGTTCAGAAAGCTGATGGAGAAACAGGCGTTTCTACAAGATGAGCAGAAACGAGCCCTTCGCTGAGAGGACCGGGGGTAAAGACGAGTGGATGAGGAGGATATCGGGATGGGAGGTCAGTGCCTGGGAAGAAGTGACTTTGCTCCAGAGGTGTGGCAGCAGAGGGGGGGGGGGGGGGAAGACGTAAAGATGGAAACAAGCTGAAAGAAAGCAGAGCTTTCTACAGGACTACAGACGGACACTAGAGGAGGGGAATGTAAAAAGGGGTTTCCTTAAATGCTGTAAGTGTTTTCTCACTGCTGAAATGACTATTTGGCACAACATGAAGAGCCATTTGGACATGAGACACATGGTGGAATCCACAGCGAAGACCTAAGAACTGAAACTTGGATGGAGAGTTCAGAGAGATGCTTTATTTTTAAAATATCTAATTCAACACCGCAACGGTCTGAATGAGTGAAAAGGATAAATGATGAAGATACACAGGAAGCTCATAGCCTACATGTCATTTTTTTTAAACCACTGTCGCTACCATAGTTTTAGTGCGGATGACTTTCATTCTTTGTCGTCTGTTATCATGTCATGATTTTCTTAACAAAAACAGACAAACGAACACTTCAGTGTCATGTGTGTATTTGTATTGACGTAATATTGATTTTTAAAACTTGAGGCTTACATGCAGAGCCTTTTTACAGTCTCTTTTTTAGTTAAAAGAAGCCAAAGGAAGCCGCTGTTTGTGTTGGGACTGAACACTGAGGACAAAAATGAACGTATGCCATGGAAAATATTAGTGATCCTGTGAGTCACAGCCGAGGTGCTACACATCTAAAAACAACATTATTTGGTCTCAGTTCAACATATTTCAGTGGGATATGTTTAGATTCAATTATTTTTACTTGCTTTGCCCAGAAACTGCTAAACCTCCATCGACCTCTATATGTCAAACAGGATAGATTGTGCACAGTTACTTGGGAGAGTGGCTTGAGGTCTGCTCAACAGCCTCTTTTCTGGTAGATGTTCTGCTGCTCTCGGGGAGGACGGGCGCAGAAGACAAGTCATCGAAGTCAGACGTGGTCTTTTATCTTGTCTTGTAATCCCAGTCGACTGTCTTGGTCTAATCTATAAATGGTGTAAAAACTTTTTTAAAAAAAGCAACTTTACTACTTCCTGACTGTAAGCTGCTGACCACTGTGTCCGTCAGTGTGTCACACGACCGTCTCTCCCAGGCTCTGTTCACTGCTCGGTGTTTACAGGATGTGCACTTGGCCTCCAATACATTCTATGTAAACAGCTGTAAAACCAAGTAGATGTAGAGCCAGCTGAATAGTATAGCTAGCTTAAAGGGTCTGACTCAGAAGTGAATATTTGCATGTGAGAAGCCCTCTTCACTCTGTACATCTCTGGGACTGTAGATCGGACTGTTTTTAGAACTGCTTGTGAGGAACGACTAGATGAGAAGCTCTAAGAAACATTCATACACAGCTCAGGTTATGTATTTACAAGTGATCACGTATCATTTGAGTCGGTCTCTTTCCAAAACTGTGTTTCCTATATTTGTATTGTCTATTTCTAAAACGGAGGTCAGATACTATGATGGAGGAGCTTTCTGTCACATTAATTAGATCTAATTATTGCAAAAATGGTTTATTGATACATTATTTAACTAGGAAGACTCGTTTTTCTTTGCCCGTTCGACTAAAAAAATGACAAGATGGCAAACCTGAGTGCATTTCTCTGAAGGCTTATGCTAGATTTATTTTAATTTTATGTTTTTGACCGTAATTTAACTATTGTGAATGTTAACTCTTCATTCACAGTTTGAAGGCAGTGATGCACATGCGGCCTGTTACAGAAATCTGAATTACTCTTTATGATACTTAATCGAGATTAATGAATACAACATTGATCATTGGTAGTTATAATGTTGTCTGTGTACAACAGTAATCACTTGCTGGTTGTAAGCATTTAGAGGTTCTATGTATTTATCACAGGGTATAGACTGTACGGCAGCAACACGTGAGCTCTGTTCTCTCTGTTATGAGTTCATGATGGAATGTTTTCATGTTCTTTGTTTTCTATTTTGCTTCTTGTTATTTTCCCAAAACAGGCCAGTGATTCTTAACTCGCAACAGATTTTCATTTTCATCTTCATTTCAAAGTTAAATGTTATTTTAATATGATGCCTTGAACATCTCATGTCCAGACTTGTGTTGTGGTTCCTGTGTGAAAGAGCGTTGGTGATATTACCAAACCCCGCCATTCAAAGTACATAGAAAGAATTCATGTTTTGTAAAAAGAAAAAAAAATCTCCGCACCACTCAAAAACAGTAAACACTGAAGGTTTGTGTGTTAATGATGGATCCATGTCATAAATAATATGACCTAAATGATGTATGAAAGATTTTTTTATTATTACTTTTGTGTTTGCAAAGTTATTAGCAAATTACTTCTATGTAAAGGTAAATAAAGTGAGACATTAATAGTTTGTATTTGTGGGAAGTTATTTTTTTATGTGGAAGTTTGTTTGTTAAGCTGTTGAGTTTTGGTCTGTGTCGGCTCATAAAGTGTACACTAGTATTACAACGGAACATATTCCAATGACTAATATAATGTGGATTTTAATTAGGGAAGTTTCAAGGGGTTACGTAGAGCCATACAATATTTTATTTTGTATATTTTAAAAAGATCAACTTTCACCGACAGACACTAAAAATGATGGAAAGAGGAGACACACGTATGACCCATCTTCTGCTCACTGTAGACTTTTATTTCCTAGCTAGCACCAGATCACATTTCCTCATTCAACTTGACGTTTTCATTCACTGTACCAGTGTGTTTTTGTCTCAGCGTTAACTGTGTTTCCATGCGGTGTGTCAGGCTGTCAGTAGGTGGCGCTGTTGCTTCATACTTTGAGCTACAGGCTCAGGAGTGTTAGTGTAGTGTGCTAGTGGGATCAATGTTCATTCAATCCATCATACCAAAATAAAACTTCCTGGTAATGAGTGGTGTGTATTCAGCTGCTGCAGGTTGTGTTGACAGTGTTGTAAGCTTCTCATGCAAATAGACTGCACATTGTCCCGTCTGCCGGCACATACACCAGTCCAGGCTCAGCAGTAAAAGAGACTGATTGATTGATTTATTTTCGCTTCTAAGTGGTTGTTGCTCTTGTCGGGCAGATTAAGAGTCTATCGAGATCAATTGAATAAACTTCAATGAACCAATTTAGTTGGATCAGGTTCAGCCACATGTTTGATATGACGGAAAAGTGATTTCAAAACAGTAGAGACATAAAAGAGGAAAATACATGCTGTAAAGTACTGCTGAAAAATAAAACTTAAATACCTTGTGAATTAAACTCTCCCTTTAGACATGTTCATTCTCGACCTTTGGTAACAGTATTCATAGTAAAGATCATCTAAACGTAAGGATTATTCTCACCAGATTCCTTCAGACAGCGTGATCTCTCTCTCTCTGTGATCAGTAATGTTTGTCCCTTAATTCTTCAAACTCCTTAACCCTAAACACCCCTCCAGCAGAGGCAGCAGTTGTTCCTGTTCTGCAGAGGACGGCTCAGCTGCCTCATGCAGCTAACCAGGTGTTGCTCAGCTTTGCAAAGGTTTCCAATTCCAGCTCCATGTGCTGCAGCTCCCTTCGCTTTTCACTGTATCTGGCTCGGGGCTATTTGAAGAACTCCAGGAACTGAGGTTCTGACCGTTTTCAGCCCTACATAACAAAATAACATAATATCTTTGCTTGTCACTTGAAAAACATTACATAAAGCCTTATTGTGCCATGAGATAGTAAAATAAATATCAAAGTAACGCATACATTTAGAAAAAGTGCTGCATTTCTGTTGAGCTCAACCATACCACACCACTGGTTGGTTGAGACTATGCAGAGGTTTAATGGTGGAGAGAGTCTTCGCTCTCATAAAGCGCATTAAGCATTATTTTATATAGAATTGACTGTCAATATCAGACATCCCACCACTTTAAAACAAGTTGCTCTTCACAGTCACAATATAGTATCTGATGTTTTTGCCCGATATTCTCACTGATTAGCTGTCATCATTCTCCAAGTTCTGCCTCTCTGTAGTGAAATACTGCTGCCTCTTGTTTTTCCTGAGGCAGATACGAAGCACCTTCTTCTTTAAAGTTATTAACTTCAGGAAACCTTTGGACAGTCTTTGGGTAGTTTCCAGAGAGGATGAAGAGTCTTGTTTACCCTCATCAGGAGCATAAAAAGCAGTGCATACTCAGCAAGGAGCTGATTTGTGCAGCATAACACTAAGAAAATGAGGCTAAACAGGAAGCATAATGAAACTTCATAGGATCAAATCACAGAAGTTGTACTATTGATGCAAGGATATGTTCACAGTTTTTATAAGTCTGTCTCAAGACAAAAACTGTTTGAATGTACATTTGGACACCAGTCTATTATTTTCAACAAAAAATCCCTGAAGCACTTTTACCTGTCCATTTACAATATCCTCAGTATCAGTAGGATCAGTATCCTCAAACTTCCTTCAATCTATCACCTGAGATTAAAAAAAAGCTAATCTCCAACAAGCCTCCTGCGTGTTGTGTACTGTACATGCACCGCGGTAGCCTCTGTCGTTGAGCACACTGCCACACTTAAAAAGGTAGGACACTTGTGTACAGCAAATGTATTGGTTCCAGCGACTGAATGCCGAGGCTTGTGCTATTCTTACCCTTTCTCTGTCACTCTGACCCTCGGTGATCTCATGAGAGAGACAGAGAGTGTTGACTGAAATACAACTAACTAATCTGACTGAGTTGATAGAAGAAAAAAAACATCCATGTGGCTCTACCTTTCCACTTCTCTCCCTTTTCTTTCACTTGCACAAGTACTGACATGTGACCACTATCAGACATACAATTTGAATAAATACTGTACTTGTGTGTAAAACTGAGAAATACACTCTTTGTCCAAAGTCTGTCCCTCAGCTGGCTGGGTTACATACCTTCTGACAAACTGAACTAATTTTTTCTTCCACCTGCTGCACACACCCTTTTACCTCCCTCCTTGTCCTCCCCCTAGTAGACTGTCCAGGAGACTCCCTCAGCCTCTCTGACCTCCCCCTCCCCTCCCTCCCCTCCCCTCCGTCTCCTACAGCCTGACAACTGTCAGCCCCTTTACATTTTAGGCTTACATGCCCTCGGGTCTGAAATGGCTCGCAACAAGTACATAAAAGTAGCTCTACCTTGCTCTGCCGCCCCTCCACTCCCTGACGCCCCCCTCCCACCACACACACACACGCACACACACACACACACACACACACACACACACACACGCCTTCATGCACAGAAACAATATTCTCTGAAAACTTGCAGGGCAAAATTAAGGCAACTTTACATTACAACTAACAATTCCTGCTGATTAAATAAGTATAGTGAGCACAAAGATAACTTTTCTCTCCATGTCCAGGCCATGAAAGGTTACATGTTAACATGTATCTGCTCCCACATTAATCCAGCTTTAGGTTATGATATGAGAGCAAAATAATAAAGCATGTGTTTGAACCAGCAATTACGAGAAGCATTTCTTCACTCATTATTTCTTTAAATGCTTCCCTCCTTGTAGAACATTTACATTTTTCTTATGTCTTGTTATGCTCATGAAGTTCAAGCGGTGCTAATTTGCATGGATTGTATCTTACTTTGCAACATTATTTGCTTTAGCAAGGAATCCCCAGTTGTCCCCAGGTGTCATTACCTGGGGACAACTGGGGATTCCTTGCTAAAGCAGATTCCTTGAGTTGTCTCTCTCCTCTCTCTGTGCCTCTGCTCCGTTTATTTACCAAATCAAGCCCAATTTTCTCTCTATGTCTTTAGATGTGTCTGTGTTTTTTTCTCTGTACTTCTCCCTGTTCCTTTGTCATTCCTCACTTCCTTTGAGTTTATTATAAGTTCCTTGGCACCACCTCTTCCACTCCTTGTTATGTCTCATGCCATAAAACACACACAAACATACATGTGCATGCATGTACACACACTCCATTTCTCACTCCCACATGCGCGCGCACACACACACGTGCACATGAGCACTAGCTCCCACTCCTCCGTTGGAGTTATAATTAATCCAACTGCTCCAGTGACAGAGCAGAGTAGCCCCTGCAGATATGGTTTCAGCTGTTGGCTGTTTGAGGGGTTCTCTCCTTATTTATTCAATAAGACTGTGTGGACCTGTGTGAATATCAGACCACGTGGTCTGCAGAATAATAGACCACGTGGTCTGCAGAATGAATGAATTAAACAAATTGTTAAAGTGTAGCATGATTAAGAAAAGGGATTCCAGTTTGCAATATCTTACTGTAGAAGAACACGATCTTCTGTGCACACCCACCAATAATAGTATTATCATAATTATCATTATCATATAATCATAACATGCTAAATAAATAAAAATATACTTACAATCTATAGATGCAAAAAGGCCTTCGGTTTTCTATGCCATATTGAACTCAACTTTATGCAAGCTGGAGTTAATCGGGCTGCAGCATTTAATGCAGTCAATTACAAATAGTCTACTGTTTTTATTGTTATTATTACTGAACTTTCATGACAGGAATGATGAAGCAGCACATATTAACTGTTACACACCAAATCTTCAATCTCAGTTTTGATCAGATTTCTTGTGTCATCTATTGATCACCATATCGTGAATTGAACTCTTAATTGGAACTTTCAGGCTGCAGCACCGTTGGTTGATCTGTCGGTCAGTAGTTCGGGCCCTGGCTCTCACTCTGGTCTAAATCTGTTGAGATGAGGGCAGCATTTTCCAATTTTAAGGCTGGATGAGGCCTACTAGCAGCAAATCTACAACCCTGGTTGGTAACAACTGGCGTCTCCCCTAGAAAACCCCCACTGAACCGCGCGCTCCTTTTACGGCCGTCGAGGTGGGACCGCGAGGCTCGATGGGAGGTCAAAGCGACAGTTCCATATATGGCGCGCGCTCTCTCCTCGTCGGGGACGCGCAGCGTCAGTCCGGATCCTCTACTCAAACCTAATGGATGGAGCTCCCTCCGCCTCCGCGCTACACCCCACCCACTCCTCACCCTCGGCCTGTCAGCATCCTAATATGGCAGAGGGCCGGGATCGGGTCTAGTGCTGAGGTTTGTGAATGGTGGAGGTTGGGTATATAAGGTGGACCGGCAGCAAGGAAGATTGTAGCTGGTTCAGCAATAGCATTGGTTGGGTCTTTCTCTCCGAGCCGCAGACACACTCCTAAGGTAAGACCCTGCTAGAACTCCTGAAGCCTCCCATCCAGGTTGGGACACAAGACTAGGCCTTAACCAGAACAGTAATGGAGCATACTGGAGCAAAAGTTAGGCAGGACTGCCAGGGACAGGACGCCTTGGACCAGATACCACTGGAG